GGGGCGGGGGCGGGGGGGGGGGTGGTGCTGCGCGGTGGCACCATCATTCAATCAAGAAGCAAGAAGCACAGATGCCGCCAGGCCCCAATAGCCTGTCGGAACCATTGAAGCATCGCTTCAAGTCAGGGTCCTACGCCATCAGACCAATGCTCAAATCAGTGGTGACGTAGTAACCACAGACCCACCTGATGCGGCCATACACCAAGAACAGCAGGAACAGGGGCGGGATGATGGCGACGGTGAGTGTCGCCAGCAGCCAGCTGGTCAGGAACCTGTGGTGGCAAGTACAGGCGGGCGGCGGGCGCGGCGGCCGCTTGTGATGGGGGCAGATTGCAGACTGGGGTCAGGTGTGAGCATGCGGAGCGCAGCACCCATTGGCCTTGCAAGCGGGGTTGTACTGGTGTGACACATGCACAGCGGCAGGTGCCAGCACATGTGCTGGGCCTTCAGGAGGCTGTCAAAGACTCCAAGACGCCCAGCTGGGGGCTACAAATGAGCAATGAGAAAGCCCCACGCGCCCAGGGGCCGCAGCGCCTGCCAGCCAAAGGGATTCGAGGCCCCCACGACGAGGCGACGGGCACGACAACATCTGCCTGCGGCTTGGATCCGCATCCTCAGGCGGCCCGTGAGGCTGCGACCGCGACGCACTCACATCATGGCGAGTCCCAGGGCCGTCACGACCAGGGCCCTGAGCGCCTGCGAGACGGCAGTGGTGGCGACGCCCTTGAGGAGCCGCGTGTCCTCGCTGAGGCGGTTGGTCAGCTCACCTGTGTGTATTTTTGTGTGTGTGTGTATTTTGTGTGTGTGTGTGTGATTGTGCAATTCGGGGCTGGAGTTGTGTGCAGGGGCGCAGGTGGGCGGCAGACGCTTGAGACACTGGACATCTGGAGCGATGAGGGTAGGGGCCGACCAGAGGGGCGGGGCAGCCGAGCGCCCACCTCCCAGGTGCTAAATTGAAGGTCCCGATGGGTGCACGCCGCCCCGCCTGCACCAGGCCCGCGCCAGGTGGCAGCCCCGACGCCGCTACCCCCGTCGCCGCCGCCCATGCCCGCCCACGCGCCCACCGCGCCGCCGCGGCCGCCCCGCTCACCCGTCCTCACTCTGTCATAAAATCCGACCTCCTGTGATATCAATGACTGAAAGAGCGACACCCTCAGCCGCCACATCACGCGCTCCGCCGCGCGTTGGAACAGCCAGGTGCGGAGGCCGCCGGCCACCCCGCCGGCGGCGACGATGACTACGATCTCGATGAGTATGAGGTCGGTCCTGGCGCGGGCGTCACCGGGTGACGCGCCGCCCTGCTGCTGCGTGACTGCGACGTCGATTAGCTCGCCGGCCAGCTTCGGGAAGGCGACCTGGGTGTGCGCGGTCATGAGTTTGAGGGGGTTGACATGATAACATGTTGAGGGACAGGGGGGGTGCTGGGTGGTGCTTGGACGAAAGGGATGCGGTGAGGCGGATGGGTTCGAAGAGACATGAGACTTTGAGGGATGTTAATTGGGGTTGGGCTTTTGCATGGGCAGCATGAGTTACAGGCAGGGGCAAGGTGTTTGATAAGGATTTTGCAAAGTCATGCTGCGCAGCCGGGGCGAGGTGATGTTGCTGGAGCCCAAAAGGCAAAAATTCACGTGCAGCTGAACAACCTGCAGTCGCAGCCCCGCGCGCCACGCCGTGCGCCCGCGGCGGCAGGCATGCACGCGCCTGCGCCACAGACGAGATCAGGAGGAACAGCGTAGCAATCGTAATGGTCCCCGCCTCGGGGCGCGCCAGCGAAAACAGCCGCGACGCCGACGCGCCGCCGGCGCCCGCTTTGCCGCCCGCTGCGCTGCGCAGGCCGTCCTCAGGATCTGCGGCCTCCTCATCATTCAGCAGCACGTAGTCGCGGTTTGGGTTGAAGCGCCCGCCGCCGCGCCCGCCGCGCGGGGGCATGGTGAGGTGTTGGGCTCGCGCGGGTGCGCTTGGTCGGCGAGCGGCAGGTGCCCTGCACCAATTGCCCAGTCAACGCGAGAGAGGCGCGGGGCTGCGCCGCGAAGATTTGATATGATCTTCCGGCTTCTACTGTTAGACTTCAGTAGACACAGCTGAGGCTTCGTGATCCCGCAGCTTCGTGATCCCGCAGCTTCGTGATCACGACTCAGGCTCCTCGCTATATGTCAGCGCATGCTTCCAAATTTCAATTGGGATGATCAATCCGGCTACTGAGCGCATACTGCGCCGTCGCCTTGTTTGTGCTGCTGCGCTGCGCCCGCTGCGCTCGGGTGTGCCCAAGCCTCACGGCTGCCGCGAATTTATGGCACACCTTGGGATATACATTCGCCTGATGTACAGCTGCATTTTGCATGACAACCTGCAAAACAGCGCTTGCTCGCGGGTGCGCATGGTCAACTGCCATGGAGTAGCTACACGCACCCACATGGTCATGGGCACCGTGACCTTTGCGAGCAAGGTAGCGATCCCTAAACCCACTGGTCCAGACGACTTCAACTTGCGGTCTGCTCAAATGAACGCGCTGCTCATCCTGGAAGAGTGCGACGAGGCAATGAGGCCCGCGGACTACAACCTCAATGCTGCCGCCGGTGTGGATGCTGCAGTAAGTCGAACGGGGCCACCAGCAAAGCCGCCGCCGAGGCCGCTGAGGCAGCGACAGATAAGGTGCATCTGGCCAGGGCATAATTCAAGGCCAAGGACAGAAAAGCCAAGGCCCTCATCACCCTGGCCATGGCCGACCACCTGGCGCCCTCCATCCACGCGGCGTCGCCCGTGCAAGCGGCCTGGCTGGAGCTGTATTTTGACCTACTCAGCTGCCAGCGACGCCCGCATGGTGGTTCTCAACCATGGGTTTCACAGCCTATCCAAGAGCCCGACACAGAGCATCACAGATTGCATGACGAGGGTGGAGGCGGTGCGACATCGCCTCCAGCTTGCTGGGCATGCCGTCAGCGACCTCAATGTCAAGGTCACCCCGCTGAGGGGCCTACTGGGTGACTTGGCAACGCGACGCTGACCACGACATTCCCCTGTTGGATAACCAAGGACGAGCTGCTCCCTCATGCTGCTGGTGGAGGAACTCCGTGTGGTAAAGTGCGTCGGCAGCTCGGCACAGCCAACAGCCGCGCTCGCATGCTCATGGCCAGCAGCCGCTGCAGCAGCAGCAGCAGCGCGCCGCAGCCGGCCGGCCTGCCCTCAGCTCGGCAGCGGCCGCCCCACATTCCCTTGAATCCTCGTCAGCACTCGCAACTCGCACCTGCCACTACGTGCTGCGGTAAGAAGGGCCACGTCAAGGACGTCTGCAGGAGCAAGCCCGAGATTCACCACATGTTCCCAAGCCAAACGAGCCGGGAAGGCGACAACCGGCCGCCGTTTGCCTGGACTGCAATTTGACGCCGCTGCGGCGCCTGCTGAACCCTTGAGGGTGCACAGCCCTGTTGTGTACGTTCTTGCATGCATCGCCCCCCCCCCACCCAAGAAAGGTCTGCATACGCATGCAGTGCCCAGCATCACCGACAGTGCTGATGTACCGACGGTGTGGCGACCATAGAGATCAGTGGCGCTGGGAATTGGAAGGCTGGGGGACTGCAGCAGCAGAGCTTTCAATGATCCAAGCGGCGAGGGAGGGCGCAGGCGTTCAACATGCGCGATTATTTTCAAGCATTCCTTGTCAATTTATGTCTCAAATAAGAGCCGAAACACGACTGGTTTCCTCCTGCATGCAGAAAACCGCTAGCGCTGTTTCAGCCCGTGCCACTGACGAACAGTCGTTCTGTGGTGAGTCGACGCTTATAAAATTCTGAATCAATACCTTCAGAACGCACGCTGCTGCAATAGGGCGCAAGTCGTCGCAGCATGTGCAGCGCATACACCACGCCGCCTTGCACCGCGCACACGCTTGCCAGCTTTGCCCTCACCCTACGCAGGTGGAACACAGGGGGGAAGTGAGAGCAGGACCTGGGTCATGTGAAATCACCGGCGTACACAGGCGCGGCCGCTTGCATTGCTCGCGCCGCTCGCAGCAGCACCTCTCACGCCGCACGACTCACTGCCCGCCGCCCGCACTGCGCGCCGCCCCCCACACCCACACGCCCACGCGCTGCGCCCGTGCCGCTTGGCATCGTGCGGCGTGCCCCAGCCAGCATCTGCGGGGGCTCCTGCGCCTGCCCCACCCACGCCGGCTGCAAGGCCAACCCCATTAACCTTCATCCGCCAGTGCAGCCCCCCAGCACTCTGTCCCTTGCGGACGGGTGTTCCGCAGGTCACCCACCCCGGTGGGCGCCCCGTTGCGCCAACCCCGGAAGGGGCGCGGCCGCGGCGCGCCGCCGCCACGCGTGCTCGAGCACACACCCTCGGTTGGTTTTGCTGACCAGGGGTGGTGGCGGCGGCGACGGCTTGATAGCCGGTGGGCGTCCCGTCGCGTCCCTCCCCCTCGGCAGAGGCGTGGCCGCGGCGCGCGGCCGCCCCAAGTGCGCAAGCACACACCCTCAAGAGCTTTTGCCAACTGGGGGTGGGGGCGGCAGCGACGGTTTTTTGCTGGTGGGCGTCCCGTTGCGCCAACCCCGGCAGGGGCGCGGCTGCGGCGC